CACCTTAAGGGGAAGAGGAGTGGGAATTTGTGTGAAGTTTTCTACTATGGAAATGTAGGGAGGGGAAGGGGATGAAAAKTTCAGCATTTTCTTGTCCATTCCATGGTGTCTATACTAAAAGACCATCTATGTTTGCAATTTCTATTACCTACCAGAATTTGCTTCTTCTGCATAACTTGATTGTGGCACTTCATGCATTGCCTACAAGTGACCAGGTGGCAAATACTCAAAAGAGGTTATTGATAATTCACTAAAGGATGACTAACCCCCAGCCATTTTCTGCTTACTTATATTATCTAAATCCTCTATTTAAAATCCTCCACCCTTTATGATTTACATTTCTTGTATGGGGGAGAGCTGGRGCATCAGAGGAGAGGGTCATCAGTAAAAATTTTAATTTTTGTGGAGGGTCAAACCCTTTTTAATTTGACAAAAGCTGGTTATTCGTTGACTGAATAGGATGGTTATGAACACTTCTTACTGAGTGAAAGGAAGGGGCTACAACTATTTTAAAAAAACGTTTACTCAGCTTCCAGATCAGCTTTCAGCTCCCCCCCCTTCCCCCCATAAAAAGCATACTTTCCCTAAGCATATGATTTTGTCAGACCATGACTTCTATTTAAGGCACCTTTACACTTGGGGTTCCTATGTTGTACAACCTACAGGTAGCCCAAGACAGAATAAAAATCAGTATTGACTCTTACCTCAGTTGTATTTATCGTTGGATCTGGAAGGTCAAAAGCCTGTTTGAATTGGTACTGCTGGTTTGTCAGTATCCTGTTTATGTTTTCCCTGAAAACTTCTATTTCTGTATGTACTTGTTGGCGTAATATTGTGTCTGTGAGAAACAGTAATAAAGTCAGGGAAGTGGCTCTCAAGTGTATTAGTAATAAGAACCAAAAGGCACACAAAGTGAGAAGTGCATGTGTTGGGTTTCAAATATAAAATAAAGGTAATGACTGACTTTTAAAAAGGTTACTCATTATTGAGAGGTGAGTTAGGGTTGAGGTAATTCAACCCAACTTTTAATATATCTCACCCTCAGTCATTTATGTCACACACTTATAATRAACCCCTTTTCCTATTTTCCAATGTTTTTTCTCTATGAGTTTACTTCCCCCTTTATATATTTCCTTCCATAAATGTCTTTGACCCAACCCATTTCCACCCCTTTGACTTAGCAAATCCATAGCCTTCAAAATCCYTCTACTTACCAAATTGTTGAAAAACTGCAGAGGTGGCCTCGAGATCATCAGGAGTGCTTGAATAAGACATGTTGTCTTCATGTAGAAAATTTTGAATATAGGTACTTGCTTCTGGGAAGCTGTAAAAACCATCCTCATAGCTACAACAATAATGCAAAAGTCATTTTTTTATTGAAATGTCACAAAGAAATAGATTTGAAGAATTAAAGAAAAAAAATTTAGCTTATAAATTATTGTCACCAACATAAAATATTATTTCAAGGCTTTAATACCATTGTGATTTCTGTGCTGTTGGTCCTTCCTCTTTTAATGTGTTATATCCACATCTGTTATCATATGCTATCATGGATTCCTCATTGTGATACAAGTCAGACATATTTTCTACGTCTTCAGTGTTGTCCATATTTTAGTCAGCAAGAAGGCTTGAGCAAATCTCAGTCTAGGCACCCTCTTGGCCAGGAAAAACTCTCACCTCATCTATCTTTCTAATGCAATGGTTTCCCTTTTTTACTGTCTCAAAGTAGTCTGAACGAGAAGGGAAAATCTATCATTTTGGAGTTTTAAGACAATCTGTTTAACTTAGAATTATAAAAGGTAAGCTAAAAGTGTATCTATGGTTGACATTTAACTTAGTTTACGAAGTTCAACTCAAAAAGAGAGCAAAGAAAGCGACSTTTTAACGATAAAAAAGAACAAAAACATTTAAGCTTACCTTCTCATATTATTTTCTGAAATATTTTGAAATCATTTTGTGGCATTTTTAGGATATATTTGGTAAAAAATAGCTATCAAAAGTCTCATGAAAAATTATTTTACRATCACTCTTTTTGGAGATAAATGGACTGTTGTCCCTAACAATTAAAACGCACCTACAGACATCTTTACTTCCGGTTTTAGAGAAAAAGCTTTTAAAACCAGTTATTAAAAGAGKAAAAAAGTTCAGGAATGGAATTTCATTTTTATTTGTAACGTTTTGACTATTTCTAATAGTAAATATTTGTAAATTGTAAATTTATATCTATTTTAGCTGSCTTTTATTATTTGCTTTTACTTCCGGTTTATTTGGCGCCAAAATTAAGCGCGCGCGYGTCGGTATCAGTATAAAAACAAACAAAAACGCGCGAAATCCATTTTTCACGATATCATCTTAAAAAAAACATTTTGTAAACTTGTCAGACATCTGTCAGATATTTGTTGCTTTTTCTTGATTAAATTCTATATTTTTATAGCTTTTCTATTTCAAGGTAAGTTTAACTTGTCATTCTCATGTGTAAAAGTTACTTTCTTCTGTTGTTTGCTTGATATTTTTTGTCTAAAACTTTCGTTCAAATTTTCGAAAAACCGAGGTATGAAACAAAGGACTCTGGCTTGAAGTCCTGTAAAAAAGATTTTAAAAAAGTCGACAATAATTAATGAGTTCTATTAACATTTATTTATGTATCTTTTATTTCAGTTTGTCTTTGAATCTTTGATTTCAACCAGCAATAATGGAATTTCCTAACAAGGCAGATAGCGAAGAAATATCGAAGAATATCAACAAGTTGCAAAGTTAGATTGAAGAACTGAAACAAGCATTTCTTATTCTATAATYGTATTTTTAAGTCACCTTATTTTTAGTTATTTAAACCCTTAAAAACTCTCAACTATATTTTCCACAGCACTGGTAAAGGAGCTCGGTCAAAATCAGCAAAATCCTGGTCGTTCTTCAGAGCTTGCTGACCGAATAGCCAGCCTCGTACAAGACATCAATGGCTTGAATTTTGAAGGAAAAGAGCACAAYTCATTGTTAATTCAAATCCATACTTGTGCCGTCACATTATGGAATCTGGCTGTTGCGATGAAAGCTGCCGGTAAAAACAGCAAGACTGTGAATGCAAGACGTAAGTTCATTATTGATGTTTAACAACAGAAATATATCTTGAAAACCTCAAACGTTGTTGAAATTATTTTTTCTTGTTTATTTAGTGAGACATGCAGCTTGTAACTTATCCTTTTTGGCTAACGCATGTGACACAACTGAACACACTTATCGCAAACAATTAGTGGTAAGCAAGACGTGGAAAYATTTYATTTGTCTCACGATAGAGGGTCATTTGAAGAAGGTCCTTCTACACTATTGAAATGACCCTCAACGTAAGACATGAATAAGTATCAATTATTATAATATTATTCGTCCAAACTTTAGCGTTCAAGTTTTGAGACTCTTTTTCTAATTTCCCTCCATCAAAAACAATTGGTTTGAAAATCTATCGACAGGGCGTATCCAGGGGTCTTTTGACCCTCTTCCTAATACCGTCAGGGTTATTTATACGCGCATGTGTTTCTGTTTGGAGGAAGGGTTTTTTTCGTTTGAATTAGTGGGGAGTAGCCCCCATAGAAATCCTTGATATGCTGCTGAGGAGTTAATTTTATTAGGATTTAATAAAATTATTTTTACGAACATAAATTAGATGGCAGCAAAGACAGGCAAAGCATGGCTTGGTGAGTACAAGAAAGTCAGTAACTCACATTGATGTTATAAAATCACGATGATTGATYGTTTTGTTTATCTAATAAAGTTAAGAAAAGGATTTAATACTGAATTGGCTTCTTTACATCTTAGTGTACATTGCATGCTAAACCAAAAGAGATGCCTTTGAAATTAAATAAAGTGCACCTCATTTTTCTGTTCAACAAATTATATTTTAATGTTTTCAGAGTGTGAAGATTATTCAATGGCTGAGAATTCCCTCCAGCTGGCTACAGAGGTGCGAATCTCGATTATGATTCTCTACTAGCCACTAAACACAACTAAATGTAATGAAAAACAATTTTTTTTATTCGCATGGTCCCAAACATATATTGGCCRACGGGCCCACCCTAACGAAGGACAAGAGGAGAGTATTGGGGGCAAAGAACCCTAACAATTAACCCTAACAAATCAAACATACATTAAGAATTAAGTTCAAAAAGATCGTTTCTGTTTTGAAGTGTGAATCATATTAAACAAAAAGTAAGTCATATTCCACTTATGTTACCAGTGTTGGAACAGCCTTAACGACATATGGTCAAAACCGGGACAAGAAAACATTACGTCAGACCAAGAAAGGCAACGACTTGAAAGTGAACAATACATGTTCAGTGTCCACTGCTATCGAGCTGAAGCGGTATGTTAAAATCTACAGCTTTGATAGATTATAAGCCAAGTGGCGAAAATGAAATGCAAATTCCACCCCAAGAAAACTAAAAGGTGTACTTTTTGATTTTGTGTATCAAGGTTTTTCACATGTCACAGGATGCCAAAGCTCATATTTATGTAAACCAGGCAAAGGAAATGTTGCATCGGCTTACAAAAGAGGTATCTTGTATTTCTATCAGTTAACAAGTATTCGTAAAAAGGCACTATCACGGCCGCTATTTGTTTGTCTTGTTTTCGCTCGAAAACAAAGCGCACATTCAGTATGTTTGCTCCAATGATACTAATGATAATGAAAAAAGAATACGAAAAGCTTCAGCCAGTGGGATACAGCTCCACTTATGAACCCACCGGCTTTCCACCATTTTCTTCCAGATATGTACGTTTATCCTGTTTTCGAATTCAATGACTATATCTTTATCATAACAACTCATATTTGTTTCAGAATGCAAGGTTGGCCATTTTGTGCTATAACTTTGGCGTCAGCACTTATCACGGCAGGGAATACAGAAATTCCATTGAATGGCTAAAGTAAGTACGCTATTCATAGATCACTTGATTCAACAGAAACCACACGACTGATGGTGTTTAGTTTCCGCTCCGCACAATCAGCCAGATGAGCTTTTTGGCATCACATAGCATTTGCGCATAATTTCCGAACGTCGGTATTCGATTTTTATTCCTTTTTCAGAGAAAGTTATGAGTTTGGAAAGGGGAAAAAGCCGGTGGGGAACAAAAAACAGGTAACTGCATGATGACATTCAGTGATAGACCCTTGTGAGCCATTTTGTATTATACATATAGAGCATGACCATGTTACGTCATATGCGCCATGTTGGTTGACAATACTCAAAGCATTCCAGCATTCTCTTGTTTGATCAAGCAAGATGGCGGTTGTTTCATTGTTATTCATATCAAGGGATTTTGAGTCACATGGTTGCACACACTGAAATAGTTATAGTAAAAGAGGTAGAAAAGAACCTATGCTCTCAGAGTACAAGAATAAATCACTCGAGACTAGCGGAGATCTTGATGTGCATTGTTTTTTGAGTAGGCTATCACGTTAAGACTAATGGCTCGTGTGTACCTTGATTGGGACAAGAAAGAACACCTACAGAAAGCTCTAAATGCGGTTGGTAAGTATACCTGACATAAAAAATCTCCTCTAGAATAGAGGAAAAGAAAAGGCGCGCGCGAGAGAGAGACGTTTTAGTTTAATGTAATTTTACCTTTTTTACAACTATTTTTAACATTTATGTTACTTCATGTTCTTTCACTCTTTTTCTTTTCAGGTCTCGCAAACTCGGTAAGTATGCGACTCAAAACCAGAGGGGATTAGAAGACAACACTTTTAATTTTCATATTTTCTAGGAGATAAATTTCGTTATCTTAATTTTATCTCATATCTCACCTGTTTTAGGAGTATCCACACCCTGCAGGGCACTATCTGAAGATCGAGCTACTAATGATAGGAGAAACGCCTACATCTTCATTACAGCCAGGTACTAACGAGCAAAGTGCTGGCATACCTAAAACTGAAAGTAACATATCACTATTAGAAGAACAGACTTGATTTACTTACAGTTAATCAAAATTTAGAAGCATTCATACCCTGATGTTTTCGTTTCCATCGCTCTACTTATGTGATAAGTCTAGTTGTGCTCATTAGAACGATCGTTTCTCTTTATTAACCCAAGATGGTTTATATTCATAAATCAACAGTTCTCGAAGAGGCGTTGCGTCACCCAGACTTGAACGTTCAAATGGGCTTAAACATTGTTCAGCTTGCCAACCAGTACAAAAGGTGAAGATAACATGAACGTTAGCGTTTGATTCATTATCCAGAATACTATTAGACTAAGCTCTGTAAAATCATTGTTTGGCGAGGGTAGCACTTAATAGCCAGTGGCTATCACATGAGTGGCTCTCATTCTATCATACTTGCAGGACAGAAACTGCTTTTGATTGCCTAAGGATGCTTGCCAGTAGATTTCAGAACTCACCTGACTTGGCTAAAATACAACTTGCGCACCTGGTAAGACAGTTTTAATATGATTTTCTGGGGTTTGCGTATTTTGGCATCACCTTTTGATGCTAAGTTTAAATAAATTACTAAATATTGTTTTATGTGGATAATCAGGAGCTGCTTCTTAGCAACAAACAGACTCAAGAAGCTAAAGAACTAGTCGAAGATTGCATAACAGGTAGTAATGAAAAAAAAAAAACAAAACAAAGAAAGATGAATCAACTCCGCAATATCTTTTGATTCTATGAAATAAAACTTGCGAATGTGAAACTTTTCTTTAGGCCACAACACAGGAAGACCACTAGATGCTGAGATGCGCAAGATGTTCCACATTCATTTATGGGAACAGGCAGCTACTATGTACGATGTAAGTAATGCAATCTAGTAGGTGAATAGAAGAACGTCTAACAAAAGTTCCTATATCGTCATCAATTTTTGTTTTACTTCTTAATAGAGTAAACAATACCAAGAAGCCTTGGCATGGTATAACTATTCTCAGAGTTTATTCACTTCAGAAGAGATGGAGGGCAACAAGAATCTGGCAAAATTACTGGTACGTATTGATTGCAGAGACTGATTTATTGTGGTAATATCTACTAGTGTTTTTATTCAACAATAGTGAATCTGGGAAACCTGTGTTCTTGTCGTTAATCCTGTATATAGTTGAAAACCTGCAGACCTTCATTGGGTCGAAGTAAAAGCCTAGATATTTGATGGAGGGTGGATACTTTAAAACGGGTCAATCCCTTTTGACAGTGATATAATCAAGCTCAATTTTTGGAGCCGTGTCTCTCGTTTGTATTGTAGGCGTCACAATGGGTGCACACTTGTTGRCCGTTCTCAAGTATAATTGAAAAATTATTAAATGTATTATGTCACATAACATTATATCTACAGAGAAACAAGTGTTCATGTCTCATTATGCTTGGAGATTACGTCAAGGTAAATATCATCATTGCATGACTCTAGCGTTGCTTACAAATAGAGTAAATGTCATACGTGTAAAAAAAGTTTGGCAGGCGGCACGGTCACGGTTTACCAGGTCTTACTGGTCATTGTTGCATAAGATGGGGTGCTAGAAAGAAGTTTCGAGCAATGTCATCAAAAACCTTGAGCCTAAGTTGAAGTATTGCCCATCCGTTTTTAGGCCAAAGAAGCGGCAGTAGAGGCGCATCGCATCGAACCTGAGTCACCAATCACGCATTTCTTCCAGTTCAAAATCGCATTACTGCAAGGAGAGGACGAAAAAGGTAAGAATGTTTTATCTTGTTTGGCTACTTTAAAAGCCTAATCAGTTCTTTAGTAAATTGTGAGATTCTCTCGTGACCTTTCATTGTTGCAACGGCTCTTCTTTAAGAACTGTCCATCGATTTGACTTGCAATRTAAAACGATATTGCAACTACTAGAATCCTTTGCGCAATTCTGTTCGCTACATTATTTTTACCACCATTTGTTTCATTATTAGTTYAGTTTAACAAATACAATTATGATGCAATGATAAGAATGAGAATATTTGCAAAGCATTCTGGTAGTTCTAGTAAAGAATATGCAGTCAATGTGCAAATGGTCTATAATTATCTCTATTAATAAATGCTCTAGCATTTGATTTACGCTACTGATTTCCTGTATTTCAGCTATCCAAGCCATTTCCAAAATGAAAGAAGTAGCTCCTCAGTCTCAGAATAGTGACGTCATGACTGAATCTGATGATACGCACGCACTCATTTGCCTTGCGGCTCAATTRTCTTTGGAGGTGAGTTTCCGTAATTAGGCATTCATTTATTATGCATCCAATAAAAAATGGGACATTTCTAAACCAGTGCAATATATTGATTATTTTGTTCTGTTAAAAAAMAAACAAAGCAAAACAACCGTGACGTGGCAGTTCGAGCTCTGGAAAGCCTGATACAGACGTCATCAAGCACAAAACAGGTCATCACTTCGATAAGGTAGGAAGGACTTGAGAGAAGAAATCAATGGTTAAAATATATTCAGAAGGAAGKTTTTTCTTACAAGTAGCAATATAAAAAAATGTTGCCACAGATTGTTTCTCGGAYTGAGAGAAAGCGAGAATGGAAGAAAAAATATCTATGTTATATTTAACTGAAGATAATTTCCAGKAGAAACTCCCATAAAGTGAGGTGCATGCGCACTATAAAGAAAGTGACTGAAAAATCTGACGAATTCGTAGGCGAGCTGTAGCCAATCCAAATTTAACCTAACAGTCACTATCGCAGTGTAATTGAAGGATTCAAGAAAATGGAAAGCCATTAATGCAACGAAATTCATTAGTGTACATTTCCGACTCATACGGAACTGAGCGCTGTATACTAAGTGCTTTTTAGCTTTGTGCTAAACGTGGAAAATCTTCTTTTCCATTATAGGTGTCTCATTCGCCTGAGGCTGACGTTATGCGAGAATGAGAAAAGGTAAGCACTCAGAGATGATTGTATTATCAAGCGGGTATTTTTTCCCCTTCAGGCGTAGTATTTTCCCTCCTAACACCGCAATTTCTGCTCAATGTCATTTCAGTAGTGTTTTTACTTCCTTTCACTGTCTTGAGAACTATCGGCTTACAATACAGTGTATTGATAGAGAAACATATCCAAAGATATTTGAATGGAAAAAAGTACATAAAAACAAAAATACACGATTCCTTATTTCATAAAATTTGTAAAGTAATCCGATGCGTAAGCAATCCCTACTAACAAATTGCTATTTGTATGTTTGATTATATTAATGTAGGAGAGATCTCAGCTCTATCCTTTTCTACTTAAAAACAGGTAATGTACACACAGACAATCGTTATTTAAGTTCTATTTTTTAGCCATATTCCATCCCTTCACTTATTCTTTTTAATTTCAGCATTGGAGCGCGTAAATCAAATGTCACTTTATGGCGACACTGCTCAAGTGCAAGCAGAAGCAACCTGGTTTATGAAAATTGGTAATACCATCATCAATCAATTAAAGTTTTAACTTTGGGTTTACGAGTCTCACAGTCTGCATAAAGAATATTTCATTTTTTGCAGTCGTGTCTCAACACAGGTTATAAAACCAATATTATCATCAAAAAAAAAAAACAAAAAAAAACAACAACGATAACACAAAAATAAAAATAAAAAAGGAGGGAAGGCAACGACTGTTAATTATATGAATGAAATTTGGTTTCCCTTCAACAAAAAAAAATTCTTAGTTGTATAATTTTGTTACTTCAAATAGCTTGGAACATGGCATTAGAAAGTTCAGAAGCCAGTCAAGAGATGCGTGAATTTTTCACGATTTGTCACAAGGTGCGTCAGTAACTGATTTCTTCGCAAGAGGTTGCAGCAAGCAACGACATACTACTCAAGGGAATGAACTTAGCTTGGTCTATTGGTTTGATTGTCATGCGAATTTCATCTTATTCGTTTTAGTTTGCTGATCTTTGTCCAGTCGATGSAACCAACATGACAAGACAGAAGAACTGTCTATTAATGGCAGCAGCTGCGTCCTTACAAATTGCCAAGGAAATTCCAGASGACGAGGAAAAGGTAACCGTATTAAACTGAGGCCATAATGCAGGGGATTCATTCAATGGCAGGGTTGAGAGAGTTTCAATCCCCATCATCCTGCCCTACGAAAAGAGTACCACTTTGGACACAAAATGAAAAACTTTGCTCCTGATACTAGTTCTTAGAAATCTGATTTGGTTATAAAGTATTTAATCRTTTGAACGCATTTTACTATTTCACTACTATTTTACTATTTTACTACCTTATCACTTTGCTACCTATATTAAAAATCTATTTTTACTTCAAATCCATAAACACTATTCCAAAACAAAAAATATTCCCTACAGCCTACTGATAGCAACTTTTGTTTCTATTCAGAAAAATGTGCTCAAACAGGCTTTAACACACATACAGGCCTGTCGTGATCTTTGTAGACGAATCAACGCCGGGAGACAGGYATCAGGGCGTGGTAAGGACAGCCATCATAAACGTACCTGGGTTAGTTACTTCTATGGGCCATACGGCAGCCATATTGGCTTGGTAACCTCGCATTTAAGTTCTTTAGAGTGAATGAATGAAAAAATGTTCATGAACCAAGGTTTTTATTTATAGACGTATCAKAGTTAGAGGCAGTCACTTTCATGGGTCATTATCATACGGCAGCCATGATGCTGGGTAGCCTTACATTCAAGCTTCACAAAGAATCATAAACCAATTTTTTTCTCTCTTGGACATACGATAAATGTACCCCGCGCGAGGTCCCATTAGTCTGGAAATCATGTTTATGTTCTCCTTTCTTTAACGTTCATTGTTTATGGTACACTTACAGATGATATCGCCATCTTGTTGACACTCTATGAATTCGAATCGAAGGCAAAGCTGGGAGAAAGTGACGCTAGTCTGGAGTCATGCCTTCAGAAGGCAATAGCACTACCATATTGTGAAGCCAAGACGTTCGAAACTTTAGCAGGTAATTTGGCCAGGTTTTGATGCATTCATTCTGATAGAAAAATAGGTGCGCAGGTAACCAGTGAGACTTCCATATATTCGCTACTTCATTATCCTTTTCCTTCCTTTTGTAATAAAATATAATTTCCTTAGCTAGTTAAGACCCGTTTGAAAAGGAGTACTGCAGAATTTTAGAATTGTTATAGCAATCGTGTTCATCTAATTTAAATTCCTTGTGGATTGCTCTGCTAACATAGTTTCTCTTTTCGCATTGTAGCACTAGCAGTCGAACCGCCTGCCTTCTATAAAGACATCAGTATGAAGTCACTTCGCCTTGCGGTGAAGAAGCACAAGAMTTCAAACAGTGTAGACTTCAACAAACTGAGGTAGAGTCTTGTTTTCAATGTATTAACAATATGTGAACGTATTATGACACCCTACCTAGTTAATTTATGGTAAAGCCAACCATGACAGAGACACAGGCAGCCCAAACAACACCCTTGAGTACTTGGTTATTGTAGTGAATGCATGGGCGTAATGTGTCGAAAAATACGTAAAATTAAAAAGAAGATTGCTTGGGCTACCTGTGCCAGAGATCGCTTAGCATTGCGCCGCATATAATAGAGCAAAGAGCCCAATCAGTTTTTCTCAATCGTTATGATAATCAATAATTCAACTATTAGATTTAAACCAGTTGCGCCTATTGAGTCTGATGTTTCATATGYCTTTTTCTATGTTTAGTAAGGTTTATCACAGTCTCATTGAGATGTCTCTAAACGCTGGTAGCAGTAGTGACGCCAACAGTAAAGAGGAGGCCTGGGGTATCTATCAGGAGATACTAGAATGTATAGATGACAATGAAAAGGTCAGAATGCAATAACAAATGGTCTAGTATCTATTTAATGAGTGAATATCACATGTGTATGAGTCTAATATGTGCAATTCTCAGTCACCGAGATRAACTAGATCTTATTCAACCTAAAAGTCTAATGCATTTAAGGCTGGAAGGCTTAATGCCTAACAKGTTTTGCAACCCAATTGATAAGGAAGCCGATAGATCGAACTTAGAATTTAGAAGTTGATTTTTGTTTAGGGAGGAAAAGAATTAGTAGTCTATCATCCCAACAACTTCAAATCATTTGCCGAACATCATCCACGATAAAGTTAACTCAGTTCTACATAGTGTATAATCTCTTGCTAACAGTTTGCAATCTTGACAATTATGCGGTTTACCTTTTAACGTGATTCCTTTTCAATGTTAAAAGAAAACTTTTCAATCGACTGGTTTCAGGCAACCTACCCGGAAATGGAAGCTATATGGCTGATGACAAAAGCATGGAACTGCGGGATTCATCTATTTAGGTACTTGATTCCACGAAACGCGTTGTTATAAAATAAACATCCATTTGCCAGAAAACTACGTTACGTCCTCRCGGTAATTTTGGTGGTATTCAACAAAAAGATTGCTACTTAATCTCCTCCACCTGATGTGGAGTGAGTAGAAATAAGGTCACTGCAAAACTTAAGTGCAATGAAGCTTGCGAAATTTGACCAGGAAAAGATAAAAACATGTCCGCCATTCCAATAAAAATAAAGAACTAATTAATGCGCCACTGTTATCAACGGCTCATCAGCAACGTTTTTTTTTTCTTTTCATTTGGTGGCCTAAGAATCCATAATTTCAAAAGGAAAAGTGACGCATCAGTTTTGCAAAAGTTTTTGGATTTTGATTGACTTTTTTCTCAGATCAGCTGTCTTTGTTTATACCACCAATATGGCCRCCATGTATGTCTTTGTCATTTTAAATTTCTTTGGGATGTTCGCAAACCATCAATTAGTCTTTTCTCAGCCTGTTCTAATGTAAACACCTGTTCATTTCTCTTATCATATATAGCTCTGGTCGGCTCAAAGCTGCCGAGAAGTGGTGCGCAACAGCTATGCGACTATTGCAGCAGTTGAATGGCTTTAAAAACAACTACGAATCTAAGGTGATTACAATCATTTAGACCTTCCTTGATACTAGTGTAATAGTAGATCTATATAGCCTGTTTCAAGGTTCGATAAAATTTCATCATCAAGTCTTTATTGAGCTAGTAAAGTCTGTACGGCATCGCATAATTTAGTCATCGTAGATAATAACTTGTCAGCGATTCTTTTAAAGCTATGACATACTTATATTAGTTGAAGTATTTTACTACTTTTATCTGATTATTTGTAGATGACAGGTGTTTACTCCGAAATCTTAGACCGCATTGAGAGAGCCTCAGTACAAGCTGTAGTCGAGGAATAGAGACGAAAAACAACTTAAAACTTGGTATACTTTTCTTAAAATTCTCACTGGCTTGAGTAATTTAWTTCTTATATACATACTTTAAAATTTTCTCGGTAAAAGAGGTATATATTTTAAGTCTCGTCGTCCAGGCTTACCATTACCAGATTGTAAAGTATTTTACCCTCTCAAAACAAAGTTTATTCATTCCTCACCAACTCACGTCTTTTTCTGTAATGTGAGTTACTGTCAACCTGTGCGCAGAATTAACGTTAAAGTTGGTATGAAAGATGCGCAAATAATAAAATATACATGTAATGCTGGTATCGGGTATCTTTTTCCTTATTTGATTAAATGCCTGATCTGAGGTTCTCTTTCAAGTGGAAAATGGATCATAATGTTTTCCTACGGGATCCGATCGTATATTTTCTCGTGTATCAGTTGTTGTGTTCGATGAATATATGTGTCTTCGTAATTTGAAAACGGCGCATCACATATAATGTTTTCCTACGGGATCCGATCGTATATTTTCTCGTGTATTAGTTGTGTTCGATGAATATATGTGTCTTCGTGATTTGAAAACGGTACCACCAACGGTACCAACTGTACCAACGGTACCATTGGTAAGCCCTGAAACAGGGGGATGCAAGGTTTGGTGTCTTATGAATATTTATGTTTACCAAAGGGTGACCAGTTCTAATATGAACACGCAAGCTTTACCAAAGGGTGACCAATTGAACTGATTGACGCGTGCATCTGAATTTTGATGACYTTGATAATGAATTCGTGAATCTTTCATATTAATTACTTTCACCAACTGTACCGATGGTAAACCAGCTTTTACCATCCGTATCAGTTCGTGTATTCTGGACATGTATGTTTCCTTTTGAATATCCTTGTCACCAGTGCACGTGCCTTTATTTTTTAGAATGATGGAAATATCCCATCCAAGGTTCACGTTCAAGTCGAAAATGGATCCTTTTCCTTTTTAATATCCTCGTCACCAGTCCACATGCCTTTTTTAGAATGATGGAAGTGAAACATCTTGAATTCTCGCACGCGTTCGTACTCCATACCAGCCCCCACGACCCTCTCCATTATATCCCAGTCTTCTCCACCCCATTTGTTTTTAAACTTCTCTTCGTCTAGACCACCAATTCGATCCCAATCTGACTTGTACATGGCTATCAGGCCATACCCTTGTTGTTCCCAGAAACCATTRGGATCCACTGGGGAGTGGCCGGGGCTTAGTCTGATGATGACTGGAGAGTAGACGCTTCTTCCCTCGAAACAATGCTACCAGAATAAAGAAAAAGTCATTATAGTAACGTTAAATCATAGGCAGCCCAAACTCTACCAAGAATGACAAATTATTGTTAAAGGAGGGTGGTATGCTAGGGGGTAGGACGCCCACAATAAACTAACAATAAGTTACTTCGTGTACATCATAACATTTTTTCCAAAAAAAGTGTTCCTAAGTTTCCATACGCATGTATGACAAAAGAAATAAATTGTTGTTAATCACTTTGATAAACTAAAGGATACAACATTACAGAGATCAGCACTTAGGCAAGTAGGTCAGGTTCGTACTTATATTGACCCATTTATCTCGCTTGAATGTCAAAGTCAATTGAAACCAAAGCTACTTACATTTTTTTTCTTCTTTTTTTATCAAAATTAATTTATTTATTTATTCAACATGCAGCTTATATATATCTTTAAAGTTTGTCAATAAAATTCTATTCAGTTCACTTTTTTTAACAATAGCCCTACCTTTCTAACTTCGTCGAATATGGTATTCGGTATCTCCAAATGCAAGTCCAAAGTAAATACAATAGTATGAGGATCTTTAACCATTCTAACTGCTGCGTTCATCGACTGACAACGAGAATACGTCCCTGGTTGTCTGATGATCATGTGAGGGGGCAACTGACGCGATTTCATTTCTTCATCTAAGTCAATATCATTGCTTTCGTAATCAAACACGATCAGACTGGCATTCTTTTTACCGGTACTGACATAGATTTCTTCCAGATTGTCTAAAAAATGCCGCATCCAAACGCCTTGATTTCGTATGCTCATTATGATAGCTATCTTAGCTTGTCGTTGCCATTGGAGATTTCCTGGGTAGTACAGAGCTTTAGAGGTTAAGTTCTTGTAGATGTACTCGGAAATGACACAGGTGGATTTGTTGCTGTGGTTTGTAACGTTGACTTCGACAAGATATCTTGCTCCTTTGTCATTATCTTCCTTTTTTTCGACTTTTATGATATTGTTTACCTTGTACACTCTGAAACATGGAAGTTTATAATGGTTGAGACAGTTGTGCAGCCGTTTTCTACTGCTCTTTCGTGGATCCCCCAAACCCAAGCTTAATTGGTTACTATAAATAGACGTCACTTCCGGTAATATCTGTGTTTGAGGGAAACTAACAATTGAAGTAAGCAATTCATTTATATTAATTCCGTCGAACACGTTGGGCTTGGTGTGCATGCAGTCACTCGACCTAGAAACTAGTGATTTAAAGCCCCTTAGGCAGATATTGAAATGGAAATTAGGAGAATTTTCCAAACTGATATACACCTAATTCAAAAAAGGGCGTCGAAGCCAAAAGAGACTAGGCGATAGGCGTATATTAATATAGTATATGACAAGGATGTGACTGAAGTTAAGATAAGACTTGTAGGCGTAGACAGCATTTCTAAGGGAAGGGAGGGGGAAGGAAAGCGGGGTCTGGGTCCGATCCGGTCCCTTTAGGTTTTGAACCTTTTCATTGGTCTGGGTGGCCAAATAATGCCAAAGGGGGTTACCCCATGGCCACGCCCCTTAGTCAACTTACCCGGGATATTTCTTCTCTACTTTATTCATGTACTCTTTCACTATGCTATCAGCCTCTTTGTACTCCAATGGATAGTCCTTATAGAATTGTAGTCCGGAGACTTTTGGATAGACAATCCATGGATAACAGTAGGTAGGTACGCGATATTTACGTATGAAGTACCATTGTCCTGCTGGTAACGGTCCTGCTCGGTTTAGATATCCAGGTCTATARGGACAGACAGGCAAAGCATCCTCTAGCTCTTTATGCTCGACATAACTGGGCCTATCTATGGTGAGAGTCCTTCCTGTCCTAAGGTGATGGTGTTCAGCCAACCCAGTACATGCCTCACTTCCAAATATACCACTTCCAATTCGCACGGATTCTTTTAAAGACCCGTTATTAACCAATGTTGTACTTCTATAATCAATAATTGTGAAATTAGTAGCCTCAGGCTGGAGCCAAGCAACTTGTAGAATATCATTAGCACCGCTCTGCATATGCAGAACCTCAAGATAATACTTTTTCCCCTTTTCTAAATACATGGGTTTTGATTTCTGCAAGGGGTATTTATCAAATTCTCCTGCGCTTGTCCAAACGAGGTCGTCACCCTTGTCCTCTACAGAGCATATCTTGACTGCATCTTGCCACTTGCTAAACTCCTCACATAGCCAGACTTCTGAGTTATCATCTGATGCCACTGCAAATGTGTGCATGCCTGAAACAGAGGGATGCAGATAACCGAATATTTGCTGAGCAAAATAGTTTTCCTTCCGTTGTACTTCCAACTTAGCTATAAAAGATATTTCGCTTGGGCCCTTGGGGAATAATGGATGGTTGCAGAGCGCCTTTAGATTGGGTAAGGCAATCCCGCGCCAAAAATGAATTTGAAGACCTCTACCTTTCGGGACGTCGGAGTTTTCCTGCGGGATTTCGTCGTTCGTTTTCACCAGCTTTATCTTTCGTAAATGATCTTCATCTCTTATATTACCATTTTTATGGGATTTAATATCGGAGAATAAATAATCTGTTTGATTATTTACTGAAACATTTACTAAACCATCATTCGGATTAATCAAAATCTTCGTATCTTCACTACTTTTCCTTAGCTCCTCCTTCAAGCCGCTCCCGGAATTTCGCTCTCGACTTTCTTCAGCTTTTTTCATGCCGTCTTCTCCTTCTTGAAAATCTTCGAAACTTTTGTTTGTATTTCCAAAGAGTTCACTAAAATTGTTGTATAATTCGAAATCTCTTGATTGCCACCAATACTTCTTGTGAAAAACAATCGATAACGTAAAATACAGAGACAAGGCTGCCAGAACGATTAACGACAGTTTTTGTAATTTTCTTCGAGTTAATATCCCCATCATGAAAGAAAAAATCTTACTATCAAAGAAGACAGACTTTGTGTTAAAGGACAATGATCGTTAGACAGTAATCAAACGAAGAAGTAAATAATTATTTTAATGGACAGACAGTCTATAGGTTTTCCTGCTAATTGATTGGATGAGGGCAGGGACCAATTGAAAGCTAATGTTGATCTATTACACGTTGTTGCGTTCTAATGAAAAAACCTTTGAAACCATAGCAACAAATTGAGCATATACATGAGCACTACAATAATTAGTTTATCAAAAAAAAAAGTCGGCCAAAATTGCATTTTAACAAAACAAAATTTTTTGTCAAATTTCTAAAAAGTTATATATTTGTTATAGTTTCAGTGCAATCTAATTTAGCATATACCAACTTGTGTACTTCCTAAGAACGCGCGCGCTCATTGGTTAATTGGAGGTGAATATTGTAC